AATGGCGCAGCCGTTCCATCCCTGAAATATATATTTGTAATTTGTGATATTTGGTATGCATGTTGTAAATTGTCTATAAAATGAATGAAACAATTTCAACTACGTGCCTGCTCCTGAGTGACATTGGCGGCTGTGCAAATTACCAGTGAAATCTCGGCAATGTCCACGCCTCCAGCTTCTCAATTTCATATCTCCGGGAAACATTTGGCTACGGCGTTTACATATGGCTGAATGTTCCTCCCAAGAATATCGCTTTCACATATATTTCTTAGCGATATATATAGGGTGGTCCAAGTCACCAGGCTCGATCTAAAATGGACCGTAAAAATCGATGCCTGCACGTAGCCATCTAAACTTTTCGTCGAAGGTGTATTTCACAGGTCGGTTTTTTCTTGTAAAATTCCAAAGTGAAGTTCTTTTCGGAAAAAAAGAGGGCCAAGAAAACTTGCCAGGCTGTACGGCGAGCGGCGACCCAGACGACCAAGTCCAGTATGTTTGGCGTTCGTATCGATAGATGGCGTCGGGAGCAGCGTCCGAAAGTGCAGCCGACCAGCGAAAAAAAGTAGACGACACGCAGACGAAATCCGTTGGCAGCAAAAGCGACGTCGTTATGCAGACGCGATTTTAACTTTAAGTTTTACTTTTATTGTTCGCATTTATTTTTTTAACCGAAGGTACATTTCAGAAAGATTATGTTCATTGTAATAAACCACGGTGGTCCAGAGCCGTCGCGATCAGAGCCGTTTATTGAGTTTGGCCATACATTGGTTTGAATAGGCGAGCATCTTGAGGCCAACCACAGGCCGCGAAACAGCCCCTTGCGGTGGTCGTGTGCTCTAAGTTTGTGACACGACTAATTTGAGCCGTTTTAGCGTCGCTAGAGTGAGGAGGTTTAGCTCTCGGTGACTGAAAACTTGGTGCATGTGAGGTTTTATTCACGCCAATATTCAAGTTTAGAATAAACGAACGTGCGTTCCAAACCAGAGCCGACTTGCTAGAAACAGCGTTTCAGCCGAGACGGGGAAAGAAAGCACTGCCAAAGCCAGCGCACGAGCCGAGCGGGACTCCGCGTCTCAAAACGCTCGCGCGCCCCACCATTTTTTTTTTTTTTTTTTCAGCCTAAGCTTAGACGCTGTTCTAGCAAGCCCGCCCAGAGCGAACTATAACCTATATTCCATCTGCACAAACATCAACAGTGCAGACAAAGGCATGGGCACGAGCCCGTGGCTTTGGAAAGTGCCTCCTATGCACGAGTTCTAGTACAAACAAAAGCGTTTTGCTGAGCTAGGCTCGCGCGCCTGTGCCCTTGTCTTTACTGCAGACATTTGTGAGATGGAGTAGAGAGGCCGAGATTGAACGCTTCTATTGCACGCTTTAAATGCCGTTTGCAATATTGTGACGTCGCGATCTCCTGATTGGTCGACGCTGTGTCACAAATTTAGTTTACGCTCTAAGCGCGGGGGGAATATTCGGCGCTGGCGGCGGCCTTTGCTCCGCCTATTGGCCAAACTCTCCCAATACACGGCTCTGGTCGCGATTAGGAGGTAGCACCATCTATAAATATGAACGCCAAACACACCCCGCTATTGGACCCCTGTCATCTGCGTTGCTGCCCGCCGTAGACCCTGGCAGGTTTCTCGTCCTTATTTTTTCCAGAAAGAGAACTACGATTTGTAATAATTTTACAAGAGAGAGAGAAAACAAAAAAAACTGTGAAATACACTTTTGACGAAAAGTTTAGATTGCTACGTGCAGGTGCCGATTTCTACGGTCTATTTTATATATATCTATATATATGTATATATACAGGGTGATTCAAGGAGACGCCAAGCTCTTTAAATCGACCGAAAAATTTGGTTTCTTAACCTATCGCGCTACGACTTTGTGCAGCGTTGCCCACAGATGGTGCATTTTTTTGTGAAATTTGCAAAGAGCGAACTTACCTGAGGAAAAAGTAAAGAAATAAAAAGGCTTAGCTCTATGGAAACGCAGCGACGCCACCGGTCTTCAAACAACGCGGTGCCGTTTCGCACGGAAGCCAAAGGATGGCGTAACGAACGCCGCCAACGCGCCAACGAACGAGCATACGGCGCCGAGAGCCGGCGTCTTTAGCAGACAATCTTTTCGACTCAAAAGCGGCGCGCGTTCCGCAGGCGGCGACAGTCCCAGAAACAAAAACAGGCGCGGTAACAAGGAACTGCAGTTCCTTGTCTGCTAGAAACGCCGGCTCTCGGCGTCGTATGCTCGTTCTTTGGCGGCAGTTGGCGTCGCGACCGCTTGCGCCATCTCTTGTCTCCCGTGCGAAACGGTGCCGTGTTGTTCGCACGAGAGGTGCAGAATTAGATACGAAAACATTTATTGATTTATCGACAATTTGCAGCCCCTGCTTCAGGCAGTGGCTGCAAATTGTCGATAAATTAATAATTCTATGCATATCTAATTCTACACCTCTTGTGCATTACAAAATTGTGTACCATTAGAGCAATAGAGAACAAACGTTGCTCGCTGATACACTTAAATAAAATCGGCCGGTCTTATTTAAAAGTTTCGACTTAAAATATTGCAACCACTCGGGTACATGAGATGCACTCCTCACTTGCTGTCCACTCGAGTGATAGCTTTGGCAGTGCTTGTTCTCAGGCTGTCCTAAATAAGAGACAAACTTATTAGGGAGTTTTAGTAGATATTGTTCCGATACCTCTTATAACCATACCCGATATTCCACCAATGCCTTTGTGCATAACTCATATAGTTACCAGGTACCGTCATCGGAGGTATTGGATCTATCTACTAAATCTCACTACCGTAAACAGCCTTATTTTCACATGCTCAATATTTTTAAAATTTTGTGAACTGCAAATTTGAAAAATATTTTACAAAAGCAGAAGAGTGTGTTATGTATTCATAACTATGGGGTGATATATTCACACAATGACTTTTTGGCAATATTTCTGAAGTCACAAAATCTAGGACCTGAGGAAAATTGGGCAATTTTCCGGTATAGACGCTTTGCACACGCGCCAGATTACAGCCGCCATTGCCGACCTTCCCTTGTCTTATCAAGGTAAAGAGCCACTGAAACGGGCGTTGGCGAGCCTCCACAAAGGCCAATGCTGAGGAGCAGGACGCAATGAAATCTAAAACGGCAATGACCTGGTCTGCAACGGTAATTATGAAGTGAAGGAAACGGAATAGGAGGAACCAGACACTGAAGGTCAGTTATGGCGGCGCCCATGCACATCTACTGCAAAGCGTCTATACTGTTTGAAACAAGTCAGCTCTGGAGCCGCCTGAGACCTGATTCACACAAGAGCTTTAAAAACAAAATTACCCCCCCCCCCCCAAAAAAAAAAAAAAAAAAAAAAAAAATTAGTTATGCAGAGGGAATTTATCATTAGTCAAAGACAAGACTTGTCAGAGAGGTGGCAACGATAATGTCCTTTCTTTCCTCTTAACCACATTGAGAACAATAACATCACTGTTTCATGTCCTAGAGGACTTGTCACACAACATAACATCAAATATCTGCTTATGAAGCCCCTGTAAACAGTGGCATGGCCTTCCAGGGCAACGAACTTTGGCCTGCCTATGAAAGGCCAATAGGGAATAATCACCACAACCTGAAAATTTTCATCTAGACAGTAAATGTTGTTTTGCCTCGTCCCGTATCTCGTTTTCCCAAAACTTGGGTCCACACATTGCATATTTTCCAGAGTAAATGTTAGCTACATTATTCTCCTGTTCTACTCAAAGAGCTCCTTTTTTTCCCCTCTTGGCTAGGCTGCAAGAACTCGTCCTGTGAAAGAAGTCAATAGATAATTGAAGTCTGGTTCACACACTTGCATTTGAGTGTAATTAACTGCATTACAACCGCTTACAAGAGAGCACACTGGTGCCATTTATCCAGTAGCCCTGGAACATTTCTGACCTGCTATGTCCAATTTATTTATGCATCAGTTTTTTGCCTTGGGCTGGATATAATTCTGACAATATTATTAGTAGTCATTTCTCATAGATAGTGCATAGATTTCATCTCTCAAATACAGCAATTCGTTCCAGTCTATACCACTGTGTAAAATACGTGAGGACACACGGCACGGCGAATGCTCGACCAGAAGAAGTCCCATCGGCGTGCGCAAGAGTAAAGGGAGTATTTAGCAATGTGCATTCCGCACCATCAAGATTGCCAGTCTTAGCAGACTACTAAAGGGATACTACAACGAAATTTCGGCGCTCATATTTTGGTCTTTGTGTGTTCAGAAGAGCCGTATCACATCGAACATACCAATATCTTGTTAAAAAAGTTTCGAAAAGGAATTTTAAAACGAATTAAACTATTAGCAAAGAGCACCTGGTGGATGTCGCTAACGCCTCGTTTGTAATGCTCGTCTAGGAACCTTGACAGCTAGTGACGGAGGTTGTCTCGCCTCCGGCCAGGACGAAAGAAGTGGGGAAGGAGGAACTCCCCTCCTCCCGAGAATGCCTTTTGTGTGTCGCAGAAGTCGCTATTGTCCCCCTACAAGATTACAGAAGATTAACCCGTCACTCAAAATTCGTACAAAAGCAGCCGCTTCGGTGGCTTGAACGACTAGGCCATCCTCTCGATGTCAGCCTTGCCATAGCTTTGCTTGTCCCAAGACGACCTACGTCACGATTGCGTTGGATGTCACGTGGTCTCCGCTGGGCCTTCTCCGAGCGCTTGCCAGAGTCGGCTGCTTATAACGAAAAGCTCAAAATACAAACGTGCGATTGTCTTTTACGGATATTATGGATTATATTCAACCTATTTTTGAACACAACGGGAATATTTAAAATTTCGTTGAAGTATCCCTTTAATGTGAGCTCGCTCTGAATATGTGCTCTAAACATCCCCTCAAATTCGGCATTCAGTGAATACCCCCCCCCTCCCCCTCCATAGCCTCAGCCTACAGGGTCTCCGCCATCCAAACAACAAAACTGGAAAAAAACACAAAAAAAAACAAGCCTTTTTTTTTTTTTAATGTAACCTAGACATGCAATCTTTCCGTTCGGAGCCTCTGCTGAGGCTTTGACAGACGGCTTGACATTGCACCGAAGATCTCCCTGCTTCAATGCGTTCATAAAACTAATTGCCGCCGTTAGGCACGAAATTAGGACCAGTGATGAAGCAGTGTCTAAGCAACCTGCGTAGCGCAAGTGCCAAGTTCTACACAACGTGGCACACCCAAAAAACGCCAGTGCATTGTCTTGTCGTAAGCGGTGGCAATGCGGTCAACCACACTTAAAAACAAATATGTGAACCAGGCTACTTCAGTTCCACGAGAATAGAGACTCGAGGACGTCCAACCAAGTGATAGAGAGCCTGAATTACAGATTTTCCAACTGCTCCAGAGGAGGTGACGAAAGCTTTGGTCATCTGCAAACGTCTTTGCCTGCTTTCCTCGTCGCCACGCGAAAACAAACCACATGCGCACTTGGTGCAAACTTCGGCAGCAAACGCTTCCCATGGTTAGGGATGGACCCTCTCTCCAATGTAGGCTCTCTATCAAAGGGTAGAACAAATGGCTTATGCACTACCGCCATCTCTCGAATAACACGAAAAACTGGATCAAAGACAGCAACAATTGCACGATCACCAATCGCCGCTCCACCGGAGCGAAACGATTTTTGGCCGGCACGCAACTACCTTACTGCTCTGCGCGACTGCTACGCACAAAGATGACGTCCTCGTCCGTTCCGAAACGCTTCCGCGCTTTCTCGAAGGCGTCGAATGGCACACTGCACAGCCGTTCGCTCTTGGACGGGTTTCGATAGAGCAGTTTCTTCTCGCTCATCCTGTAACCGCAGAGCACCACGTAGTGTCCCTGGAAAGGAAAACACTTGCCCAGCATGCCGGACACCTTGGCGACGATGCGGTTGCTGGCCTGGCACGCGTCGCAGTACAGGAGTCCCTGGTCAACCAGCACGATTATCGGACTGCCGCGAGACAAGTGTTCCAAGATGTCGAGGAGGGTCACCGACCTGCGCTCGACGATTACGCCGCGCGAGGACGCCTCCCTGAAGCGGTCTTCGACGCGCTGGTGGTCTCTTAGCAGCGAGAGCTTGTAGTAGAGCTCGTTCTTGTATTTGGGGTTGACGCCCAGCGTGACCGTCGTGTAGACGTGGTCGATGCCGTACCGCCGGAGCAGGTAGCACAGGTCTATGGTCCAAGTGCTCGCGCCGAAGCCTTCTTCCTGCGATATGCGGTCCCGGTTGGCGAGGAAGTCTCGACGTTCTCGGTCGGTCGCCAAGAGCATGGCCACGCAAGAGACGCCACAGTCCCATGATAGCTTTTGCTCCACATGTCGGAGCGGGATGATCACGGAGCTCCGCCGGGATTCCATCTAGCGCCGTTTGGATAGATTCCCCATCGCTGAACGCCGCCGACAAAACACAGCAAGCACAGGTGTGGCACAGCCGGGCACAGCTATCAGCAACGCAACCAACCTCCACGACAAAGCTGACAAAGAACAAAAGCGAAACAAAAAGGTTAATATAAACCTCTCTTCATAGATGGCAGCAGCAGCATCATAAGGTCGAATAACTATCATCATCATCATCATCGACAAATTTAACAACTTTAGTAGCTTTTAGATATTTATTTTACGCCTCCACCAAAGTACTACCTTTGCACAAAACGCAAGCGTTTATTGTCTGCATCACGCGAGAGAACTCGTTTCAGCTGCACAAATGTATAAATCAATATATTCTTCGTTTGTTAATAGTAGCCACCCGATGTCGCTACCCGTACAGCAAGCTGGAGTGTTGGTTTCGGATTCGAGACGGACTACCGCACGTTGCACGCTATAGAAAAATACTAATATCGATCACGGCGCAGTCTCGTTTTTAAAATGGATTGTATCGGCCGCAAACAAAGTGACGTGAAACAATAAAAGCGAATTGTTCGGCATGTTTAATTTGGGGTCGATTTTATTGTTTGATATCGCCGTTCGCATCGCATTTTCTCGTGTCGCTAAACCCCGTACGAGTTGCTGCCGCTCGGGCGTGCCGCTGGCTGGTCACGATTGATTTTTCGCCAGCCGCGACGCGTCTTGAGCCGCGGCACAAGAACGTAAAAAGTCGCCGCAGACGTCCCCGCAAAACAATCGCGGACTTTCGAAGGCCCAAATTCTGCAATAAATCGGGCACCGCGTTGAAACACGGGATGCCCGCTGCCTGCAGACGGCATTGCAGCGGCGGCCATCTTGGAGCCAACTAGACAATAGGGGAAGGGGGGGAGAACTCACGGCGGCGAGGGGAGCGGAGGGCAACGTAATGACATCGATAGCTTTTTTCCAGCGTTTCCTAACCTTGTGACGTTTTCGAGCTCCGGTGTGCTGTGTTGATAGTGGTTCCTCGATGCGCGCCGCTTGGGATATGTGCCGCGAGGAACCCAGGATGTGAACCGAACGCCGTGCACGGCAGCGGCGACGACCGAACAGGCCCCTGTGCAAACAGCCGCTGGGCCAGCGGGGCTTGGCGCGGCTGGGACTAGGCTTAGCTGCGATCTGGGCCAGCGCTGCCCCTACCGTGACCGATGATCGTCAGGTGAACCCGGGCCCCGCGAAAGCATGGAGAGGCTGCACAAGGAGCCCGGCGGGTACACCAAGGACTCGTCCTCCTTCACGCTGGAGCTGCAGAAGTTCCACGAGTCGCGCGGGTGAGTTGTTTCGAGTGCGCCCCTGCGCCGCGCTCTCTCAGCCATTGTGGCCGCCTCTTCCGAGGTCCGAGCTGCTCGCTCGCGAAGCGTTTGTTTTGCCGGTTTGGGCCCGGGAAGAAGTGTGACGAGCTCGTGCGGTGTTCCCGCAGGAGTCCATTCAAGCACGCGCCACGGATAAACGGCCGAGAAGTGGACTTGTTCGCGCTCTACAACGCCGTGACGGGGCTCGGCGGTTGGCAGAAGGTGAGAGCGGAGGGGTCTTTTCCTACGGGCGTTCGTTTGAATTTACCTCCAAAAATTCGCGGTCACCCAGGTTTGGGACCGGTTGCTCGGCCCCCTTTGCACGTCCTCGGCGTGCGGGGCCTTTTTTTCTTTTCTCGGGGTTCGTTCGCGATGTTTTGGGGGTCTTGGAAAAATTCGACTGCCGTCGAAGGATGTTCGGTCGGGTTGGTGTGGGGGGGTGGAGGGGGGGAATCGCTGGGTCGTCGGCGGTACTTCGGTGCCCGGGGGAGGGTCATTCGACACCTGGTCCGTCGTGCGGTCGCTCGCGCCCGATCGTCGGCGTCGTTGACACACCGCGGGCGGGGGTTCTGGCCCCGAATTAAGCTCGTTTGCGAGAAACAAAGGCGGTCCAGTGAGCTAGGACTAACGTGGATGGTGTTCAACCTCCCGCATCGTTGAAATCTGCTGCGTCGCAAGTCGCTGGCAGACAACTTTGGATGGAGACGGGCGCTTTCTGGGGGATCGAGTGGTTTTGTTTGTTTGTTTTGTCCACGAGCCTGAAAAAAATCTTTGTCTGCGTGTTAGGTGAACGATCTGCTCAAGTGGGATTACATCTTGGACAAGCTCAACTTTCCCAGAGCTTGTGTCAACGCGTCGCTGGCCCTCAGACAAGTCTACGTTCGGTGAGTCTTGAGACGTTGCTTTTTTTTTTTCTGGCAGTTCAGTTCAGGTTGGAGCTGGGGAAGGTTGCCATACTACACACCTGAATACAATTTTTTTTAAAGCAAAATAAGCAATATAATGATATAAGATATTGCCTATGTTCTTTTTTTTTTTCTTTGGTTATCGGGTAAAAAAAAAGAAGGCCACAACGTGAGCGCGCGCAAAAACGTGCTCATAAAAGAAAAAACAAGTCAAGAATACGAAAAGCACGTGTTACGTCGTTCCATTCAAACTCGCGAAAATTGACGGCCAGCTGGTTGGAGCGTTGCTGGCTTTGGTGTGATTTTCATTTCTTTTGTAACATTTTTTTTTCTTTTTTACTTTTGTTGTAGCTTTTTTGCAAGATGATAGTGTGTAAGGGACCGCAGCGCTTTGGGGTCCGTTCGCTGAATAGCCTGGTACTCTTGCTAGCAAAGCTGTCTAGTTCGATTGCATCGGAGAAATGCTTTCTTCCTGCTTTGATATCAATCGTGCAGGGCCACAGGTGGCCGTACGACGTCTGACAGGGCAAGTATTACTGGGAATGAGAATACAGCACAAACAAACGATGGACCAGTAGAGGAGTATACACACAGACAAGGCACTGGCTTTCTCGTTCCGAGATGCATCAGAATGTATTCTCGTTCCGATTCATCACCAACTCGCCCAGATTTTTACGCTTCTATTACAGGGACGTCTTTTTAGCTCCCCTCTTTTGCTGCACAAGCCCACTGATTCTTGTGGTGTCTCTACTGTGCATGGGTGCTCAAAGCTTGCCAGACATGATTTCATTGTCGAAGGTGAAAAGATCGTGCTTGGTACAGTTCAAGTTGGCAGTCTTCTTATTTTCGTGAATGTTAGTGACCGTTTCCTTGGTAACCAGTTCCTTGCCTTTAAGTCGTGCTCCGCAGTTAGCTAATGACAAGTTTTTGTGCGACTCCCTCCACATCGTGTGTTAAATTGGTCTCCGAGTGGTCCATGGGGGGGATGGTAAGACATACAAGGTACCTTTTCTATAGGAGGAACAACCTGAAGGGAGTAGGGGTACAATTCATATCAGCCGATTTCTCCCCTCAAAGTCTGGGCAAGGGTTATGAGGTCCTTTGAGTTTGGATTGGTAAGCGAAATTCTCCTGGCCGGAGTGGACTATTGGAATGCTAGCTACTGTTCCAAGGTGTTTTTGTTGCTTGTTGCTCAAGATTGTAGCTTATAATGAGTTTTGGGTGCGAGCTATATTTCTCAAGAATTCTGTATGGCTTTGCCACAAGCCTCAGCACATACGTGTGGCTTTAAAGGTTGGTTTCCTTGCGCGGGCACTTGTGGAAATGTAAACCTCAGCAAAGCCACCATCTTATGCTTGTGACAATGCTGCACCCCGCTAGTGAGATGGAATATTGTTGAGTCAGGGTCAATCGGGGATGGAAGAACTTTGGCTTTGTTTTCCTTCAATAACAACAGGATGTAGGAAGCCTGGAGAGTCTGCCACAGGTGTGGGGGCTTTCCTTATAGAAGTTTTCATTGAAAATTTCTCCTGCAGGGTCCAACCAACAGGTTCAGTCATGCCTTTTAAGCATTCAGATAGATGGATGGAATAATGCTAGTGGCTGTACCCTTCATTTTAAACAGTAGCTTTTGCCACCTAGTCTAATATATTTTCTGCCCCCCTCCCCTCTTAAAATGTAATCCCAAGCTTTGTTCCCTGTCACCCCATATAACCATTAACTTTATGTGCTATTTCACACTTGCCTAGATCTTTTCCGTGGATCCCCTAACCTCGTTTTTTGTTGTTGTAATGCCCTTATCATTTGTTCTCGTCTCCAAACCCCAGCGCTTGGGTCAAATTTGTTGTTCGGAGCTAAGGGCCCAGCCATCGGTCCTTCTGTCACCATGACGATCTTAGCCTGACCGTGAATTTAGTCTCGGCTTGTAGATCTTTAAAGGCTGCGTGCAAAAGTCAATGTTTCCCGATGGCATTCGCTAGAAGAAACATGCAAATGGACCTCTTTCATGGGACACTTCCTTCCCATCTCGACTTGAGTGAGCCTCCTGCTGCTGGGGTATTGCAGTGTGTAGGACATCTGATGGCTGTTTGCCGTATTGTTGGGACCTGTGCTAGGCTCACTGACCATTAAACTCCATTTCACCTTTAGTGCGAGCATAGCCGAAACCAGAACGAGCTTCAAGCGATTGCGTGGTGCAAGCATCGTTCAGGGCAACATTCTTGGAGCTTCAGCTTTGCTTGTACATCAAATGAAACAAGCTTTAGTGAAATTTCGAGCATAACTGGGAACAATGTTCGATATGGTTGTTAACCGAGGGTGGCATTGCTGTCTGTGTTGTGGCTTGCACCTAGAAGGTAGTGCATTGCCTTTGCCGTTCTGTTTGACATAAGCTGGGAACTGAATGGTGGGAAGCAAGCTTGCGTAAGGGCTTCTTTTGAAAGTTGCCGAAATAGGTTTGCATGGGCGATTGTGTAAAAACGAAGAACGAAATTGCTCACCGACTTTCTAGACACAAAAAAAAGCACATGCATGAGTTGGTTTGTGGATTCTTGTCGGGCATCTGCGGCTAGTTTCCGAGGCAGTGGCTTCTCTAGACGTGATCACGTCGAGGGCTTTCCCGCTTAGTGTTGCATTAATCAAGTGTTGCGTGCATTTCCTCTTGGGAAATGGGTTTGGACGTTTTTGAAAAGATTCAGTCTCCTCTTCAGTCGAGCAGATTACAGACTCCTGTGCTTGTTTTTGTTGAATTTCAGTATAAGAAACCACATTGTTGTTGTGCCATTAGACCTTGAATAACTCCTGTTGGGTGTTGGGCCTATAAGTACCGGCCTCAAGACATATTGCACGTGGCAGAAACAGTGGTCCTTTCTCGTTGGACAGGGCAGTTGCAT